AGACGAACATCTGGGCATCAAGGGTGGGTAGGGGGCAGGAACTACATGGATGGGAGAGATGCCCAGCTCTGCCCCCAGAGCAGTGGGCTGCTCTGGAGGGGAGAGGTTACATGCTCACTAGAGGTGCTCAAGTGGATGGGATGAGACTGATATGGAGGCTGCTGGGCCCCAGGCCCCTGGCCCCCGGACACTGTCTCTGACCGGGCCCTGGGCTGTGCAGGTGAGCGACTCAGGCTGTAATCCCAGAGAGGGGGCTTTCTGGGTGGCCTTGGGCCAGGGCGTCCTCTCTGAGCCTGTCTGCTCACCTGTAAGGTCAGGATGGGAAGTGCACCGATGTCAGCAGGTCAGTATGGAGACTGCATGGAAAGCACTAGCACAGTGCCCGGCACACAGTAAATGCTAGGTTAATGCTGGTGGACAGAGCAGACACTTGACCCCTGCTTCTCTGCCAGGAGCCTCTCCCACCTGGCCAGGGCCTATGTGTCCGGGTGACACTCCCCACTCTCGAGGGCAGGCAAAGATTATGACCCTGTTTTCTGGATGGGCCGGTGCTGTTGAAGGTGAGGCCTGGGGCTGAGGCAGAGCCCTGGGTGCCACACCCAGCCCTGTCATCTTGGGCAGTCCCTGCCCTTCTCTGGGATTCGATGGGCATCTGAGCTAAATGAGGCACAGCAGGCAGGGAAAGCTCCCGAGGGTTCCCTCCCTATCCCTGAGCTACTGTCCTCCTCCAGGCCCCCCAGTCTCCAGGTGTAGGTCCTCCTCCCCCTACTCTGCCTCTCCCACGCCAGGGTCTGGGCCTCCAGGAGGGCCAGGGTGTGCTGTTGTGGGGCCTGTGGCCGTGCGGTGGCCGTGCTTGCCCTGTGTGGAGGGGCCTCACAGGTAAGCTCAGTCTCCTCAACCTGGCCACGTTCCTCTACGGAGACCCTGCTGCTTCTGTGGCTCAGGCCACAGAAGGAAACAGCCAGAAGCTGTCCCTCAAATCCAGATGATTGACCTCCAGGTGGCCCGGTCCCCTGCTCTGTCCCTGGCCCAAACACATGCATGTGTCGTAGGTATATCGGGAGTTGGCATCACCACAGGTGAAACCTCTCCCAGTTTCCTTCCACATGTCAGAAAATCCTGCCTCAATCACTTGTTACAATCTGGGCCCATTTCCTTCTATCTCATCCCAAAGTGCCTTGCAAATTGCCTGGAGAGGGAGGGAGACAGTCCTGCCCCTCTGCTCTGTGCAAAAGCTGCTGCTCTCTGCAGTGTTTGTGGAGAGGATGCCAGAAGGAGGAGGGTGTGGGAAGGTCCCCCCCTCTGCCAGCCCTGGGAATGGTTGGGGGAGGGTTGTCTGGGCTGCTTGGTCCCAGGAAGGAAACCCGGTGCCAGGGCTGTGATGTCCACAGGGCAGGAGGGGCTGCTGAGGGCAGGGAGAGGCCAGGACTTTTGGGGGCCGGCAGAAGAAGCTTGGAGTGGAGTTGCAGGGGACGGAGCTCTCAGGGGAGCACCCTATACGGGGGCAGTGAGTGGCACCTATGCATGCTGCTAACCCTGTAGTTCCTAGTGAGGGTGGCTCCAGTTCTCTTGAGGGTGGGGGTGCGGGCGCAGGGATCTGGCAGCTGCCCCTGGGGCTGTTCCCCTGGCAGCACTGGGAGCCCCCCGAAGGGCCTGCTTGGGCACTGTGGTGTGTCCTCCCGGGGCCTGCGACGTCACGGTAGGATTCTATGTTGTGTACTTGGGAGTGTGAGACAGGTTGTGAGGCGGGGGTCTGACGAGGTCCCAGTTCTCTCCCCTGCTCTTCCCCTGCCCCACAGGCCTGCCCCAGAGGGGAAGGGTAGAAACGCTGCTTCCTGGCCCCCCCGTCCTGTCGTCGGAGCTGCCCTTCCTCTCTGCCTAGTCAGCCTGGGGCGGCCCTGCCAAACCCTAGCCTTTTTGGGGGAAGATGATCCCCCTCACTCCCTAGACCACCAGTGAGGGGTGAGGACAGGGAGTGTCCAGCAGTCTCCTTAATGACCTTGAGCCATTCCCAGGCCTCAGTTTCCCCACCTGGTAAGCCAGCGGTGGGCCAGGAATTGGTGGCCCGCTGCAGCCTGACCTTGGGTAATCATGGGGAGGGGCTGGAGCTGACAGCCCGGAGCAAGAGTAGCCCTTCCCTGGGGCTGCTCCATCAACGCAACCTTCTCCCTCCTCCTCCCAAGGTGGGGACAGAAGCCTTGGGATGCAGGAACGCTCATCGTGGAGACCTTGGAGTCCTGGAGCTTGTTTTGGGGGACCCGGGCAGCGGGTGCGGAGGCCGAGGCCGGCAGGGAAGGAGTTAACGGTTCCCTGCTTTATTATTTTTCCCTGCTTTGGCGGTGACAGCATTGTCTGGGCTCCCGGGCCGTCGTGGGCGGGGGAGTGGGGGGGATGGTGGTGGTAGGGTGTGGAGGCCGGAGAGACCCCGGGCCCGTTAAAGGGCCGTGGAGTCGCTCCCGGAGCCAAACCCCATTCATGCTTTGGGGGTCTGGGGCGCGGGGAGCCCGCGTGTGCGCAGGCTCGGGTCTGGTCCCCAAGGGGGCGCTGCGACCCGGGCGACCTGGGGCTTGGACCCCGGGCACCACACGGACACCCCGACACACGAGCACCCACACCCCCCAAGACGGGCACCCAGAGACCCGGGCGCACGGCAGTCGCAGGCCAGACGCGCTCAGACAAACAGACACGGCGGCGCACGGACACAGCAGGGCACGGCTGCCCGCCGCCACGCGTCCCCAGAGGGGGCACGCACCCGCACAAGCACTCGCGCGCCCGCAGGGCGGCCAGCCCCGCCGCGCCCCGTTCGTTACCTTCATGTCGTTGACGATGGCCTGGAAGAGCCCTCCCAGGGCGCCGCACTCCTTCTCCGCCGTCTCCATGCTCGGACCGGGCGGCAGCGTCGGCGGCGGGGCGCAGGCTGGGCGTGGGGACCCAGGCCGCGGCGGCTTTCGCTCCGAGGCCGGGTCGGGCCTGCAGCCTCCGGGCTGCGCTCAGCGGCCGGCCGCGCCGCGCTCGGGGATCGCGGGCCGCCGCGGGGCGGCGCGGGCCATGTCGCGGCGGGGCTGGCGGGCGGCGCGGGGACTGGAGCGGCGTCCGTAATCCGAGCCGCCGAGGCTTGGACGTCACGTGGACGCGCGGAGGGAGGGCCGTGGGGAGGGGCAGGGCCGTGGCGGGAGGGGTCTGTGGGAAAGACCGGGCGAGCTCCGGCCCATTCACCAGGAATGGAGCCCGGGCTTTGAAATCCGAGCCCCGGCGCGGCCGAACTGGTCGGGCTAGAGGGCCCGGCAGGCGCAGGCGCCACCGCGGTTCGGGGGCGGCGCTGGGGCGGGGCTGCCCGGCTTGCCCGCGGGAGTGGGACCAGTGGTTGGGTGCCCACTCCGGGAAGGTGCCCAACACCCCCCC